GGGGGGGGGGGTTGATGGCTTGGTATTGGGTTAGAAGGCTGGGGATGGTAGACTGAGTGAAATGGACGGTGACGACAATCTGATTTGCCTTCACATGAAGCAGTTGTTTCCCATATTTCCCATTTGTCTGTTCCCCTGGGTGTAGTCCAGTGTGAGAGGAGTGATGTGGTGCTGCCTAGAATACTCAGTTTTCAATTACACCCACTATCATTACTGTTATCAACAGCAGCAACATCAACAGCTAATCTCCTTTCCATTATTTTTCAGATAGAATTTGAATTGAAAACCAAGAGCTTTGAACTTAAGTCTCAAAAATATAAAAGATAAATGTATAATATTTCCACACAGAGATGTTTATTTGCATATCTTAACCCCACTGAAGGCAGCCATGTCTGTGACCACTTGGACCTAAATGTGACTGTGTTGTTAATGTAAGCAGAATTTGATAGATCTTGTGCAGGAACAAAAGTGCTCCTGCAGTGTCTTTGTCTTTTTTAAACATAATTATGAAATCAAGCATTAATGTCATTAATGTTAGTGTTATCTCTTATTTGATTGGGGTAACTCTAAAGCTTTTTAAATAAAAATATTTAAATATACTGCACATTTTCAAGATTTAGTCTGTGTCTAAATTCTGTTGCAAAAAAAACAATGATTATTTATGAACCACTCATCAACGTGTAAAACTATGTGCACGTTGTATCCTGGATGTTGCTGAGTTATGGAAAGCACAGTACAAAACATAATAGTGGTAAGAGCAAAAACAGATAACAGCTTTATTAGGTCTCTCTTTCTCTCTCTCTGTCTCTCTCTCTCTTCCTCTCTCTCTCCTCTCTCTCTCTCTCTCTTCTCTCTCTCTCTCTCTCTCTCTCTCTCTCTCTCTCACACACACACACACACATTGTATACAAATGATCACTGTGTGTGTTAAATGTATTTCTCATTCCTACTCCAACAATTAAACCATATTACACCATTAGCTTTAGTCTCACTCCAACCCCCCCGTCACTGTGGAATCAACCTGATATGTCTGTATGCATAGCCAAAGTACTTTCTGTACTGTATTATCTTAGCTATTTTACACAATGAGTGAGAGCTATAGTAATGTTATACTTAGTGCAGACTGTATTAGTGAATCATTAGGGTCATGGTACTTAAATCTGAGATCATTAGCTGGAGGGTCTCCCTACAGTGCTCCTCTGTGAACTGCATAAAAGGTGGATGGAGAGGCTAAACTCTCCCCTTGCACTATAGAAGTTGTGTCTATGGCCATTGTTTAGATATTTTATCCAGATAATCATACATACTAAAATAAAGAAAGTGCATACTAATTTACATATGTATTTATTTATGTAGCCCACACACATTAATTTCTGTGTAAATTATTCCTAGATGGATGCATGCAGATATGTATAGTATGCAGGTGTGTGCACTTTTACTTACCTGCTGCCTCTCTTTTATGTTTTTAAAAGATAACTAACTGTTATTGTGCCAATATTTTCTGTGTTGAAGGATAGAGAGAGTGATCATTTCCAAACAGCTGGAATGTTATCATCTTGTCATTAGGGAGTATGATGTAACAATGAGTAAATATTTGTGTGCCTGGTATGAAGTGGATGAATAAAAGGTGAAAATTGAAGCCATACATTGTAGCAACAAATGGGACTTGTTAAAAACTGCTACCCCGCTGTTATCCTTTCATGGATAATACATTAAGGATTTTCACGTCAACAGTGGAAGCAATTTTCCTCTTTCCGCATCTTTGGCCCAGCATGCCCCCTGTGCATTTTTACTCTTCTCCATATTGTGAACTAAACCATGGATGACAGAAAAAAAACAAGGGATGAAGTATGTTATATATAGATCATCAAATGAAAAAATAGAAATAATTGATAGTGCTTGTTTTTAATGATTCCTTTAAAACAGCCTTAAAACTTACTAAACTTACTAAAGGCTTACAGTACTGTTTAGCTTTTTCACCTCCACTGTCCTCTCCTCCCCAGTGCCTGGTGTGTGTTGTCCCTGCCAATGTCTGAAACATTATCACAACAGGATGTGGGCTGGGATAACACTGAGAGTGCTTCCTCTGCAGTGCCAGTCACCTGGGAGATTCTTCAATTATCATTGCATGTTAATGTTACTCTTTAGTCTGAGCTGCACTGCAACTCAAAGGAACCAAAGAGAGGGTGCAACATGAGCACTGGACTTGTGGGAAAAAAGAAGAATTGACCTTTCTGATTGCCTTTAAAGTGGTTTAGTACTAGTGTCTGTACTCTCAGTTAATGCATTAAAATATTATAAATTGCAGTTTACTCCAATGGACATATGTACGTACAGGCAGCAACTGCTGTACATTGCTGTCTAAAAAGGCCAGTTAGTTACTGATTACAATTCCTAGCATGAAGATTGTAATTTGAATATGTAGCTTTTAAGGCAGTTTTCATGCAAACAATTAAGAAAATGAAAAATGCATACCAACCATAATCAGTATCAACTGAAATTACGGATCTAAAGTTGTCAGCTGGCCGTGTGGGAGTGTACACTATTAGCCTCAAAATTGTTCTGTCTGACGCTGAACTGAATATATAACTACTTTTGCAGATGTCCACATTGTTTGTTTATAGTTGTATAGCAAATTAAGCTTTATAATGTTTTTATGATGTCTGTCGGGAAAGAGAAAATGTACTCTTTCTCCAGAACAGCAAAATAACCTCTGATGCCTGAAAAATTTAAATTAGGTAATCATGTGTTCGCCCTTGACCACGGGAAAATTACAAGATTGTTT